ACCCATCCCAATTAACAATGGAGGTTTTTTCTTCAACATTGAAAGGAAAAGTTTTGTTATATGCAGATCTTGTTAGAATTTTTATATGCATTAGGATTTATTGGCATGAATGGCAGGACATTTATTATTTAACAACTCCTAGCATTAATACACCTTTAATGTGTAGAAATTATTAGTCACTGTCATGAGCTCTTTCTTATACAGTACATTTATCTCCACTTAAAAAAAAAACCATGTATTCTTTTTAGATTAAGAGATTTGACAAATCCAGCCAAGAAGTTTAAGATAGAAGCTAATGCCAAGCAGCTGTACATGACGGGGATAGTCATCATGCATAAGGAGTGTAATGTAGTGGCAGTGGAGGGCGGGCCAAAACAACAGAGGAAATTCAGGCGACTCATGCTCAGCAGAATCAAATGGAACGAGGATAAACATAAAAAATCAGCAAAAGATGATGGTAAAGTTTATAGTCTTCTCCAAGTATCCATCCATATTTATCAGATTGGGTCTTTACTAGTCTGCTGGTATTTGTACTTATACACACTGATTTTTAATTGTTTCAATCAAATTATCTGATGAAATATTTAATCTGAAATTTTTTTTAACTTATTTAATGAAAATTGCTTCCACAAGATTCCTATCTTGATTTTGTAAAAGTACCACATGTTTTTAACTCTTTGAAAGCCCCGCAAAATAAATACCAAGATACAAATTTTAAAAAGTCTGTAAACCAACTTTTATATTCTACAAATATTCCTGAGTTCCACGACCTACTTTAACTCACGAATAATATCACCATGAACCATTTATTTTGCTAATCATTTGCAGAGAATGTTTCCTCAATCACAGAATTAAATCGTCGTAGATTGATTTCAAACTGATGAATCGCGAATAATAGATGACTCAAATAATAGTTGGTTTACAGTGGTTTCCTCAAGAGTTTCAAAGTTCGAGTACATGTTTTGTAACAAAAATATCAATAAGTAATTTGAATGTGTAATTTGAAACCCAAAATGCAAGTAAAATTTTCAGATAAAGGAATTGCTTTGATATAATAATTTAACCAGCACACAAGGAAACAAAAATTTGTTATAGTGATAAAAATCCTAAATCCCTGAGTGGAATGTAATTACATGTACTGTAGATCACTAAATTTTCGCGACACCTTATTTTCATTGACTCTTGATTAGCGAGACAAAATTTTCACGAATTGCGGTTCTTGCTCTTTATAATCTTAAGAAATGCTATTATACGCGAGAATTAAATTTTCGTGAGCACACTGTCTCGCGTAATTACGCGAAAATAAAGTTCTCGCAAATAAAAAGTGATTTACAGTATATATTCTGTATATATTTCTAGATGACAGTGATTCAGAGGAAGAGCAGGATAAATCTAACAAATGTGTTCTAGTGTGGGAGGTAAGTTTGTTTACAAAGGAGTAGTCTAGCAAATCTTGTTTATCTTTTAAAATTTTGAAGTGAAATTAACAAAGTACTTTGTTCATGTCAGAATGAACAGTAGCAATCATTGCAGAAAATATACATAACCAGTCTAAGAAGGTTTTTAAACTTTTGGAGGAAATGGTTGCAATTTTTTCAGTCAAATTGCTTAATTTGCAGCTCCTTAAAATTTCCACATACATAGTACTGAAATCATCATTGTTCTTTACCTTTGTATACTCACAAGTTTACAAATCTACATATTTTGTACACATATTGAATAACTTGAATATACATGTACTACATAAATGAGTAGTCCACGAAATAACATCCCCTTAAACCAAAAAAATTTTGCTTGCCCACGAACAAACTTAAGGAATTGAAATGATTCCACAGTATATCTGAATTGACATTCAACTTTAATAATTTTTTTATGCCCCCCTTCGAAGAAGGGAGGGCATATTGCTTTGCTGCTGGCCGTCGGTCTGTCGGTCCACTTAGTTTCCGTTCATTTTCTTCACAACCGTTGCACATACTGAAATGAAATTTGGTATACAGATTTATCAGAAGAATATCCAGGCCAAGTTCTGTTTTGGGTACGATCGTGCCATTTTTTACAGAGTTATGCCCTTTAGACTTAGAAAAATTCCAATTATAATCTGTCCATTTGTCCTTAAGGAGATATGAGTGGACATGTATCCAGTTAAAGATAATTAATGAGCTTAGTGTGGGAAGTTGGGCATCTCTGATCAGTGTTATCTATATCTCCTGAGAATTTGACAACAGAAGGAAAGATCTCTCCTCTCTAATTCTCTTAATTGTAATTTATTGCCTGTCAAAACATTTATTTACCAGCCTTTTTTAAAAAAAAAAAAAAAAGAGAATGTGATAGTTAATAGCAAAATTAATTTGATTTTTTATGTTATAGTGTATTTATATGGGTTTTTTTTTAACAGTCAATTTACAGTGTCATGTCGCACAAAATTGACAAACAGTTAAAATTCATATTTTCAATGTAATAAAAACAATGTAATGAATTTAGAGTCAAGAAGAAAGAAAATGAAGAATGTTTCATTAGCTACAACAAATTCAATCTTGCATTTAAAAGAAATAGTTTTTACATGTCAATGCATGCACCCTATATTATTGTTCATGATACCCATAGGAACAATAAATAATGATAAAATTTTGGAGAGAAAAGACCATGATTCCCAAAAGGTTTGATGATGGCTCCTTGATGAAGTTGGGAGAATTTCACACCTGTTACATGTATTTATACACAAAGCTTTCAAACTTGGCAAAAGTATACAGGTGTATTGTGGCCTATTTCAAGGTCACTGTGACCTTTAATTTAAGTGATTTTTTTTTAAAAATTAAGTCTTTTAAATTTTAAATTTCATAATCCTAAAAATGTAAAAATATAGTTGTATCCTTATTAAAAAGTGTTAAATTAAGTAAAAACATATTTTTTCATCATATACTTCACAGGAATCTGTAACAAGTGTCAATGTTTTGAGAGGAATTCAGTTTGTCCCATGGGCATAATTATCAAGCACTGGTCAAGAAGAATTTTGATAGCAGAAATGCACATGTCAAATTAGAGAGAAATTAATGAGTTTATTGTCAGGAGCTAACTGGTAATCTCTAGATCTGATCATGCAGCTGCTTAATTTATCTCTTGGGAGTTGGGCAAAGAGAAATGGCCTCATAGTTGCTTGTATTAATTAAGAGTTCTTGATGGCTGTAGTCCAGATAAAGAACATTCAATCGGTGTAATGTAATTAAAACATATTGATGTTTTAGTGTATGATAAAAACTAAATTAGTATTGTATAATATATACATGTGTTTATTGAAAAAAAAATTTACATTTCAATTTTATATGCCAGTATTTGGAACACATTGCAGTCATGTCTCACTTAGAATTTTGTAGTCTAAAGAATAATTTATTTTTTATTAGACTAGCATTTCCATTATTTCATAAAATATGCAATAAAAAAATTAAAGCTGCATGCTTATGGATATTTGTTAAGCTCTAACACAGCCAGTTTAGAATTATTTGACGTATTATATGTTATATTTAATCCCTACACTGTAAGTCTCTTAGAGATGTATGTACAATATTTTAAACATGATAAGAAATGGAAATTAAATCATTGAAATTTGTGTCTATCTGTTAATCAAGGCTACCTGATTTTCTTGCACCCTAACCAATTTATGATTATTATTGAACAATATTTGACGGGCGTATCATGCTGTGGCGGGGCACTAACTTTATTGACAGAGTTATGCCCCTTGGACTTAAAAAAAATTCCACTTATTTGCAGTTTCAGTTCATTTTCTCTACAAAGGTTACACATATTGAAATGAAATTTAGTATACCGATTTTTCAGCTGAATTTCTAGGTCAGGTTTTGTGTTGGGTAGGATTGCACCATTGTAGACAGAGTTATGCCCTTTTGGACTTCGAAAAAATTCAAATTTGGAGGGGGGGGCATAAGTGTTTTACAAACATCTCTTGTTTCTTAAAGATTTTGTTGTGTGTGCTTTATCTCTGGATATAATACTAAAATGCTTTCTCTTCAGTATTTTGGAACAAATAGTATTATCAATGCTAAGTTTTTGTTATTGTTTCATATAGGGAACCACCAAACAGAGAGCTTTTACAGACTTTAAGTTTAAAGTGTGTCCAACAGAGGCATTCGCCCGTGAACAGTTTAAAAAGTGTGGTGTGGAGCAATACTGGGACTTAGCCTTCAGTGGAGCTGTGTTAGAGTCGACACAAGACGAGGACTTCTTATAGCATCAATGTCTACACTGATCTGATGTCAGATGAAGGAAAAAATTATTTGTCTAATAAAAACTAATTTTATTCAAATTGATCACTGTCAGTGTCCTATTGTGATTAAACTAATTTCATGACATCATCATTAGTTAAAGAATACATGGATGTTATACAAATTGTGAAAAAAGTGCAAAAAAGAAATTAAAAACGAGAAAAGAAAAGCAAAGAAAATAGGATTGAATCTTGATTTAATTGAATAAAGTTGGGGAAATATTGTTATATTTTTATGACACGTACCCTTCAAAGAAGGAAGGGCATATTGCTTTGCTGCTGTCTGTCGGTCCACCATCCGTTTCCATTCATTTTCTTTGCAGAGGTTGCACATATTGAAATGAAATTTGGTATACATATTTATCATAAAAATAGCTAGGTTAAGTTCTGTTTTAGGTACAATCGAGTCATTTTGGTATGCCCCTTGGACTTAGAAAAATTCCAATTATTTGAGGGCGTATAAGTGTTTTACAAACATCTCTTGTTTCATGTTTTTATTTGTTACATACAAATCAAAGATTAGCATACAATATGTAATTACACTGTGCATAAATGGTTCAAATTAACATGTACACAATTGTATTATTTTCTTTAATCTATTAGAATTTACGGTTATATCTTGGCTATTACTTCCCTTAATCAATAAGAACATTTAATCAGACCCTGTAGCATGCAGCAGTTGAGGAACATCTGCCACTATTTCTGTTAAATAAGTGTGATCTGCACATTTGATCGCTGTGGCACTTCCACTGTCACATCTATAGTATGCATCGCATGGTCTCGTACTGAACTGGAAACTACCGTCTGGTCTTCCGCTACAGCTGGGAAGTAGTCCTACTCCAACTGGATCAGATGAGGGTATAGCAAACTTTTGTGTGCATGTACCATTGTAGGGGTAGGTTTGTGTTCCCCACAAGTGGTCAACCGGACACTGCCCCTTCACTAATCTGTTTTGGTAGCATCTAATAAATTCTTTTTGTGAGTAGGAGAAAGGATGTTCGAATACACCATTAGGTAGATGCAAACAATTGCTTGGATGATTACCATTACCACAGTTTCCCATATGTCGGTTAAGGAATGCAGTGTACTAGTAGCTGCCTGAAAAAGGAGTGATTTGGTAATAAAGATGAATTCAGATAATAATTCTATTTATAGAAAAAGGTCAATTCACTGACTAATCAAATGGAATTGTTATTACTCAGGGCTCTTACCCCCTTTTTTTGGTATGATATTTTGCTAATATAAAAATAAAATTTCTTATAGATGCTGGTTCTCCCGCGTTTTAATTGCTATTAAGTCGAGCAATAGGTATTCTGGGAATATTCCACCCTATTTTTTCATGTTTTAGGAAATTTATGTTTATTTCTAGGGGCTTCTGAAAGCGTTCCTACGTACAGGCTTGCCAAATTACACCATTTCCATCTAATATGCTTAACCGATAATGTAACTTAAACAAGAGGCCAGGGGCCACATCGCTCACCTGAGCACTGGCTAGGAAAAAAAAAACAAACAAAACATTTATCAACTATTGTTTCCCCAACCTATCCTTGGGGGTTATGATTCAGATTGAACAATCTTGAATACACACCACCCAAGGATGCTTGGATATAAAACGAGGTGTTTGTAAAACCCTTATGCCCCCTTCCCCCAAATAATTGGAATTTTTTTTAAGTTGAAGGGGCATAACTCTGTCCAAAGTGGCCAGATCATATACAAAACTTAAGTAAGTAGGTATTTTTATGATAAATCTGTGTACCAAATTTCATTTCAGTAATTGCAACCTCTGCGAAGAAAATGAACGGAAACTGATGGTTGACCAACCGACAGACTGACGAACAACAGCAAAGCAATATGCCCTACCTTCTTCCAAGGTAGGGCATAAAAAGACCAATCATAGCTTTGCTGTTCTAGAGTAGAACATTTTTCCTGTAAATTCCTATGTAAAACATTGATTGACCATTGTGGCCTCGCCCTACCCCCGGGGGGTCATGATTTGAACAAACTTGAATCTACACCACCTGGTGATGCTTCCATATAAATGCATGTATGACTAATCATGCTTATGCTGTTCTTGAGAAGAAGGTTTCTTAAAGTGACAATACGGCGCATCTCTTCAAAAACAGACTTGTTAAAATTTTCCTGTAAGATTTGGAATTTTTTTCATACTCATAAATGTATACACTTTCAGAAAATTACAAATTTCATAAGTAAATAATTCTGATTATTTCATTAAAATTAATAATTATTTATGGCCCATAAATATATACATCACAACGTGTTCGAGGTTCCACATTCCATGCTATTCACGCGTGCGTATAGTTTTCATAAACAAAACAGCATGGTAAGAGAGGGAAGCACGGTAGGCCTGCTACATTGACAAAGTCGACCAAAACGAAAAACAAAACCAAAAATAGGGCTTGAAATTAAAAAGCAACATTCCTGACACAAATTTAGTTGGGAGATTAATATAATCATTGGATGAAGAAGAAACGGGATCTCTGCGACATTCCCGTGGGGCTCGCGAAGGTTCTACCCTACAGGTTTGTTGATGCATGCTATTATTTCTCGTATCTCCATGGCTTTCAAAGACAAAAAAAAACTGTGTAAACTCAACGTAAAAATGCACTTATGACATATGAAAATTATTGCCATTTGAAAGGCAAATTGTATTGGAACTGCAGAAAGATATTTTGTTTGACATTTTGCCGCGATGACGTATGATTTGTTGGATTTTCCTTTCCTGTACCCCAATACACAAAACGTCAACATTTGTACTTAATCATGTTAAATTCGTCTGAATGCAGACTAATATGTTAACAATTATTAATTTACCGGAGAGTTAAGATATGTTGATTCATTATAATTGTAAACCCTACATTGTATGCACGTGCCGTTTTAGAATTCACGTGGTACAAATAAACAGAACTAAGTTGTACGACCCTTGATTTTCCGGCAGATTTTTAATTACGTTAATTTTACATGAGGAGAGAATATTTATTTTTCTCAAATGCTTACTTCAACTTTTTACCTTATTCCTGAATGATATATTGGGTAAATTTGAATGAAAAAGCACACGATTTGCAGCCGTATTGCCGCTTTAAATATTTTCCTTATACATTCCTATGTTAAACTTTGATTAACCATTGTGGCACCACCCTACCCCCGGGGTTTTTGATTTAAACAAGTTTGAATCTACACCACCTGAGGATGCTTCCATATATAAATATTACCAAACATGGCCTTGCTGTTCTTGAGAAAATGATTTTGAAAGATTTTCCCTATACACGTACATTCCAATGTAAAATTTTGACCGTCAATTGTGGCCCCACTCTACCCCCAGGGGTCATGATTTGAACGAATTTGAATCTGAAGATGCTTCCGCAGGAGTTTCATTTTTCTTACCCAGTGGTTCTTGAGAAGTTTTTTGTTAAAAATGCCATTGGTTTTTCAATAATTCATAATTATCCCTTGGAAGAGGGTGCGGCCCTTCATTTGAACAAACTTGAATCTCTTTCTTCCAAGAATACTATGTGGCAAGTTTGGTTAAAATTGGCCCTGCGATTCGTGAGAAGAAGATGGAAATATGGAAAGTTTACGACGACGACAACGACAGACAACGGACAAATTTCGATCAGAAAAGCTCACTTGAGCCTTCCGCTCCGGTGAGTTAAAAATCAATCAAATAAGTCGATCATAAAATAAATGAACCAAATGTTTTGAAGATTCAATAAATGGAAAATTTAGAAAAATTGGAAAAATATTTTTTATTACTTTTTAAAGTTGAGAAAAATGTCTCAGAGCGGGGGGCTGTCCTTGCCCTTTTTCTTTCACACAAATTTTTATTTTGATTTGGATTGTTGACCCGCTTTAAAGAAATCAGCAATTGATAAATCCAAATGATAAAGAAAACAAACGACAATTGATATTTAAAAAATCTACAAAAATACAAATCTTTAAACAGGACAATCATGGAGAGCATTAAACACGAACCCTTAGAAATTCCTGATGGGGAGATCAGCAGGTCCATAGGAGAAGTAAGCAAATACAATGTAGTAACTTTTGCGTGATCGAGCTTGCTACAGTTTCACATGTTGATAGCCATATTACTCATCGATTGGGTGTTTGATTATAATGAAAACAAATTAATATTTTTGCCTATGAAATACAGATCCCAGCAATATCAATTACAATACTGACCAATCATATTGAATGATTGTTCAAGAGAATGCAGTAAACAACTAGATATTGGGATGGTGGACATCTCAAAAAGGCCCTGCTTTCAGCAATTAATGAACATGAAAATGTAAGGTAGCTGAAAGGCTTTGCTTCGGTTAAGAATGGTGTTCTTGGGTGAAAATTTCCAATATTACACTCAATTACATACAGATATATTGAATTCTTTTAAAAATACACATTACGGTGACCATGGTGCGTGCATAAATTCTGCGCAGTCAAAGTTTTTTGGATCATCACCAGTCGTCAAGCAATGTAGACTGTTGCTTTACTGCATATCTGTAGCTTGCTCGTCTGGAATGATAGTGGAATTGACGACCAGAGAGCTACAGCGCCACACATAGTAAAAACTCTAATTACCTCAGACTGGTCACTATATAGGGCGCCCGCAGCCCCAATAATCGCATTTCGATAGACAAAGCAAGTTTTAATCCTTATAATGCTGATATTGATCGCGTCATATTATCGACGATCGTCCCGATTGTTTTCGGCACAGATTGTGCACATATGAGTTTACTTGTAAGGTATGCAAGGCGTGGACACCGGGGCGGTAGACTGCATTCAATAAAATGGTGGATAAGGCTGTACCTAAAGCTACCAGGCCAGTTGAAACGCCTGCATCGTCAGAGTTTTGTTGTATTCGTCGTCGTCAAGCGGCAGGGGGAACGTAACATGGCCTACGCCGCCTCCGAGTGGCCAAACTACGGTCCTTCTAGACCAGTCTTTGCATCAGAGCGGACAATGGAATCCAAGCACAGCCTTGACGTCCTTACATTATGCACAAATGTCGTCTCTGAGCGGTCAAATGCACATGCCTTTCATACCGGATAGGGAAATCTTATGAATTGGTCTGAGCAAGTGTTTAATGCATAAATCGACAAAAGAATCGGGACTCAACAGAAGAATTCAGCTGAGGCTGTCTTGTCAGGTCATAAAACCCCAGGTGAGTCTGTTAATGCGAGT